ACTGAAGTAGGTGGATATCCAAGCCCTGATCTACACTTAATGTAAATAACATAATCCTGAAAATGAGAAATGAAGGAATGTGAATCTCTGTGCCTGAGCTTATCTTGTGAGTCTTGGTCTTCAAGCTTTTGAGTGCACATGACTTTGTAAATCAGCAAATAACTTCCTACTTTGTTTTCAGGAATATTGGCATTTTTCTTAACAACCTGAAAAGGTACGAAGAAGCTGTAAAATATCTCCGTGAAGCTGATCAAATTCTTGTGAGTCGCTCTTGCTTTATCGTATTTTCACATTCTCAGTGGCAGAATTCAGGAGTTCACACTGGATTTTGATCATACAATGACCGTGGAAAACCGTGAATTACTCAAGCAGACACTAATGAACATGGGAGCCAAAGAAGAGTTGCGAAAATATCTGGAGTCATCTGAGAAGGCATCTACCAAGTCTAGCAAAAATGATGAAAATGGCAAGACCGAGCATGTGCCAGATTCTTTTGTGCATGAAGAAGCCAAAGAAGACGATTTGAACAAAAAGGTGCAAATTGGAATATCTGAGATAGTTTTGGAAGACAAAACCCCTCTGAAGATCGCTTCCACCGAGAAAAATACGCTCAAGAAGAAGTTTGCTGATCTCTTTTCTGAAGATCTTTCGGATTTGCCGGATTTGATTTCGTAAAAAGGATTCTGTGGATCTTGCATTTCACTGATTATCATTTGGTGTCTCTGAGGGTGCCTTTGGAAATGGTGCTAAGAATTTGTTCTAAGTATAAAGTTTGCATGCACAGATGTTATGCCTCTCCAAATACAGCTTCTCTTGCGATTCGTCACCTTACTTTTGTACTTCTTGCCTCCTCTTCCACATGAATATTGATGTTCTGTTTATTTTGTAAAATAAATAATACAGCTGTGGATCATAAATTCAGTCAAGGAAATTGAACCGCCGAGTTTTCTGGCTACTTTGGTGTTTTTAGATGGTTGTAATTGGTTCAAGGTAGCGTATTCGTTCATTTGCTCTTTGAAGCGGTACTACCAGAACAATGAATCGAAAGGGGTTACAAATAGGACCGCTCAAAAAAGACCACAGTGAGTGTGGCTTCGATCCAAGCACAGGAATGATAATTGGAAAAAGCGCTGAAAATAAGATCATGGGACAAATGTAAGTTATGTAAGTTTACCCGTTATTGAGTCTTTTTACATATCGCTTATGTGTAGGGTTTGTGAAGAAGGCGAGAATAAAGTTCAAGCTTAACTTGTGTGCCAGCTCAGCGTCGGTGCTGCACTACGCGTCTATGATATTTTCGAAAATCTCCACATTTTCGAAGTTCGCTCCGAAAAGCGTCGCAAACACTCA